TCAGATATCATCTATACTTGTCCCATCTATGCCTCGTCCACACTGTGCCTCGACCCCACTGTGCTACCGTTTTTTATATTGATTTGGCCATTTTTAAAAAAGTTATGGCACTTTCAAGTAAAAAAAATTTTAAAAATTTCGAAAATTAGCGAATTTAAATTTGTAATTTTTTTGGAGGTCCCCCCATTTACGGGGAACGAGGGAATTTTTTTCAATTTTTGAGGGTAATGTCTTCGACTAGATACGATTTGTGATCTTTTGACGTATCGTTAAAAGAAATCGGTTCGGTGAGAGGTTAGAAAAAGTGGTAACAGACACAAAAAAACCCAGCACAGGGGGGTCGCGGCACAGTGGTGACGTGGTATAGATGGATTAAGTATAATGATATCTGACAGTGATTAAAATCACTATCATAAGAAAACGCTTCGATGCAAATCTTTAGATAGTGTTTAATTTTAAAAAATTGGTGGATTATTCCAAAAGCTTCATAAACTGCTAGTTCCTTATTAATATCCTGATTAAGATAAAGTATGTCGAATGAAAAAGGGATTATTAAAAAATAGTATTTCCCATAAAAAAATTATATTGATCAATACACTTTTCAATAAGTTATAGCATTATAAAGTTAAAAATATAAAAAAGAATTTTTTTACAAAAATCGTATTTTTTTTATTAAGTTTAATGTCTGTTTTCACCATGAAGATAAAATAAAGTCCGAAATTTTTTTTTACCATTATAAAGTATATTACATAAGCTTTAATTTAAGATATATATAAAAGTGTCAGACCTTCCGGAACACTTTCAAAAGTTACGTTGAAAAAGTTCTACTTTCTATATGCATTTTTATGTTTTGAATCCCCCCTGTATTTAGGGAAATGGTCCGATTTAAAAAAACAGTATGTCGAATGAAAGATGTATATAAATACTAATTCTCATAAAAAAATTCTAATGATTCATACATTTTTCAAAAAGTTATAGCATAATAAAGTTAAAAATGGAAAATACAAAATCGAAAATTTTCACACAAAAATAGCATTCGGTAGCCATTTTCACCATGAAGATAAGATAAAGTCCGAANAAATTCAGGGGGGTTATTCCAAAATTCCTCCAATTTTGGAAAACAAAAAAAAAAAAAAAAAAAAAAAAAAAAAAAACACATCTTATAAAACCAATACCTTCTCAGCTTCGCATCGAAGCTAAAAACACAGCATAGTAAAATGAAAATCTTCTCAGATTCGCATCGAAGCTAAAAAATGAATATGTTACTATAACTTTTAGCTCATTTACAAATTTTCAAATTGACATCATTAAATAGAAAATTTTATGAGAATTAAAACAATGGTCTCGTTAAGATTAATATGTAGTTAGGAAGTTTTATAATTACTATTTATAGTAAATTTATCAGAGTAACTCAATATTTTTTTGCATTTTTATCGTAATAGATAACTTAAATAGAATTAATAGTAATAATTTCCTAGTAACTTTTAGTATATGAAAATATTCTTCAATTGAAATATTCAAAACTTAATTAATTTTATTGATTTGCTTTAACTAAATGAACCAATCAAAACAAAGTTATTAAAAAGATTTACTCAATTGATAATTCAGAAGAAACTAACAATCATTTTTTTTTAAAATTATTTATATAACAACATATTACCAAAAAATTTGGAATATTATAGTCTAGTAGTAGCACACACAAATAGAGTAAAAAAATGATTAAATTACAAAACAAAATGATTTAATTTTGTAGTTGAAACCTATTATATCAAACTAGATTCGTCAATAAATACTTTGAAAACATTAGAAATGAATGATTTTAATTGTCTGTTTGGAGAACATGGGATAAGTAATTGTTTAATTGATAAATTAGATTTTTTTTCAATTTTTGAGGGTAATATCTTCTACTAGTAGACATGAATTGTAGTCATTTGACGTATCGTTAAAAAAGTAGGTCAAGTTAGAGAAGTGAACATAAATGATAGTCACAAAAAATATCTTCTCAGCTATGCATCAAAGCTAAAACCTAAAATATAGTAAAATAATTGTAATATGAATAAGAAATTTCTTCTTGCAAGGGGCGACTCAAGTGATGGGATCCTTGATCTTTATTGAAGTTATTGAATCTAAATGAGATAAAAATCAAACGAGTTAAAAATTTATACTAACTTAAAAAAAATTAAGAAAAAATGCAAAAAGTTCATTGCCATATGCGGGTTGGAACCTCGTACCCCAAACATGTAAAGATACAAGTTTTACCAACTCGGCAGCCGTACATTGATACCGTCGGCTGAAAAAATTGGCCATTTAAGCTAGTTCAAATTTCAAAGTTATTTTTCTCGACTTAAAAAAAGCAAAAAAGTTTAAATAAGTTTAACTTTCTATGCTATATCAATTTTATTTTTATAATATTTATGAAAATCTGTATGCTCCCCTTGTCAGGTATTTTAATACACATAAAATAAAATAAAACATAAAACCCAGAATTTTAACACAAAAATTGGATATTTTTGAATACGGTAGTCATTTTTACCATGAAGTCAAATCCAAATATCAAATTTTTTTTTTTTTTAATTTAAGTATATTTCATAAGCTTTAATTTAAGGTATATATAAAAATGTCAGTATTTCCGAAACATTTTCAAAAGTTAAGTTGAAAGAGTTCTACTTTCTATACGCATTTTAAAAGGTTTGAACCCCTCCTGTATAAAGGGAAATGGTCCGATTTAAAAAAAAGTATGTTGACTGAAAGAAGTATATATAAATTATTTATCATTAAAAAATAGAATTGATTCATGCATTTTTTAAAAAGTTATAGCAACATAATGTTAAAAAAAAACCAGCACAGGGGGTTCGCGGCACAGTGGTGACGTGGCATAGTTCGATCAAGTATATTGATATTTGATAGTGATTAAAATCACTATCATTTTTTAAACATGATAAAATACTTAATATGCTCATATTATGGTATGATTTATTTAATAACTTCGTAAACAAATATATTCTTACAAAATTATCATTCATTCCTTTAGAATCTGATATTGAACATAAATATTGAATACTTTTGAATTCATTTTCATCTAACTCATTTCTTAAAATATACATTTTAGTTTCAATATAGATTTTAGATTCATAGTCTGAGTCACTAATTCTATCATTTGGATTTAATTTAAAAGAGTTGGGTTTTATTTTATCTAATACGCGTTCGATATTTAAAATCAATACACCATGTTAATATACAAAATTTTTATCATCTAAAGTAAATTTGTAAAAGATTTAAAAATTTTTTGAAAATCATGAGCTTCTTCGCCATTAAATAACATAGTCGTATATTGAAATAAATTTGCTATTTTATTTATGAAAAATTTTGCAGATTCTATTTGTTCATTGTCTAACATTAAAGAACTGTAGATAAAGTGTTTTTTCATTAAATTCATTAAAACAGTTTTAAAAATGTTTAACACTTTTCGTTGATAAACTCCAATTCGTTTTATCCATAAATCAAACATAAGATAATTCTTTGCTTCTTTGTATGCTTCATATATGTCATTATAAATAACATCAAACGTATTTTTACTTTGGCATTTGANAACTCCAATTCGTTTTATCCATAAATCAAACATAAGATAATTCTTTGCTTCTTTGTATGCTTCATGTATGTCATTATAAATAACATCAAACGTATTTTTACTTTGGCATTTGAATTGGATTTTTATGACATTGCAGTCATAGTCACGGATTGTTTATTATCAATTATGACTATCAATAGATATACTTTTTGTATTGTCAGTTAGTGTATTTATAAACTCACAACAATATGCCTTACTACCATTGATAATAACAATTCTGTGTACCTGCTAATATTGATGTCATAAAAAATCGATTAGCTACCTGTATTTGTAATACCTTGTGTATTATACATATATTTAAACTCAAAAATTTGAAACTTTAAATGTTTATATCTAATAAATAAATAAAGTTATACTAAAAATTCAAATGCCATTTACTATTAAATTAAAAACTCAAACATTTTATTAAATTCAAAATATGTGTTCCTATTTAAAAAAACAAAGTTGACCCCCTTCCAAGGCATAAGGGATGAACTTAAAAAGTATTACGTAGTTAAAAATTGAAGAATAATGTGTAACTAAAGATAATAATAAAAAAAAATGTTTAAATTATTATTATTTTGCAAGTAATTGAGTGGGTTATGATAAAAAAATCACCATATATATAAAAGTGTCAGACTTTCCGGAACACTTTCAAAAGTTAAGTTGAAAAAGTTCTACTTTCTACATGCATTTTTTAGATTTGAACCCCCCTCGTATATAGGGAAATGGTCCGATTTAAAAAAACAGTATGTCAAATGAAAGATGTAGATAAATACTACTCCCCGTGAAAAAATTGTACTGATCCATACATTTTTCAAAAAGTTATTGCATAATAAAGTTAAAAATGTAAAATACAAAATCGAAAATTTTCACACAAAAATAGCATTCGGTAGCCATTTTCACCGTGAAGATAAAATAAAGTCCGAAATTTTTTTTTTGCATAATAAAGAACATTACATTACCTTTAATTTAAGATATATATAAAAGTGTCAGACTTGAAAAAATAAAAAAGATTCAAATATTGAAAAAGATTGAATGTATTACCACAAATGAGATCCAACTGTATAAAGTGATTTTTTGTTTTTATTAAACTCGTAATACCTCTTAATGATGTCTCTGCTGCGATTTTTTTTTTTGAAATCTTCCATTGACAAATCGCATAGATTCTCATAGCTAGGATACTCGAATCCAGTGTCTAATTTTAAAGCTCTTTCTAATGATACATCTTTTGTTTTCCAGAATTTTATGCCATAACTTTTTTTTAGCTTCACAATACATAACAAAAATAATATGACAGTAAATGTTTTTAAAATCATTTTCAATTGACAATATATAAATTATTTTATTATGTGATAATTTAATAAGCTATAACAAGATATTTTTTTAAAACTCTTTATAAGTCTTTTAACTATGGATATTTATTATGGTATTTATTTTAATAGTATTTTTATATTCAAAAATAGATCGCATAATACATTTGCAATAAAACTAATGAAATAATGTAATTGATTAAATAACATATTAAGCTCTAATATTTCATGTTAGTTGTTTATTTAAGAATTTAATATATTTTTATAATATGTTATTAATGCTTATTTATATCATAACATTTTTGTACATATTTTTTTGTAACTATATATGTACTACATCACGAAGTCATTTTTTATTGAGATATGCTGGTTTATTTTACATGATAAACTATTTTATCATTTTACTATTTAACTAACTTATTTTATATATTCTTTATGCTCAATTGGCTGTCTAAGTCTCCCAAAATATTATACAGAGTGATTCTTTTAAAATTAGCCATTCAATTTAACCTAAAATAATAATTATATGAAGAAAATCCATTATGGTATTTTTAATTTTATATATTTTTCGATTTATTTATTATAAAGTATGTTTGTTAATTCATCCCTTTATGTCTTAAAAAGATGTAAACTTTATTTTTTCAAATTAAATATATATATATAGCTTATAAAATAAAAAACCCAACACAGTTGGGTTGCGGCAAAGTGGGGAAGTGATATAGTTGGGTCCAGTATAGATGATATCTGACAGTGATTAAAATCACTATCATAAAAAACGTTTCGATGCAAATCTATAGATCGTCTTTAATTTTAAGAAATTGGTTAATTATTCTAAAAGCAAAATTAACTCCTATTTCTATCATTATTCCTAATTATTTGTTGATTTATAAGTATAATTTATGAATACATATCTATTAAAGCAATTCAACGTAGTATGAAATCGATATTTAATAATTTAGTATTGCAATTTTTTTGGAGTATTTATAAAAATTTATAAGGTAGTTATTAATTTTATGGCACACGTGTATAACAATTGAAGGGCTTGATACAGAATTTTTAGATAATAATTTGACGGTAATTATGAATAAATAGTCTGCAAAACATTTTCACCAGAATAAAAGATATACTTTTATTATTTCAATTTTCGTGCTAAATTCAAAGCAGCAATTATATGTTTTCCATCAACAATAAATTTTGATATTATTACTAATTAGTTAAAAACTATAGAATATAACTATAAAAAAAATAGTTCTGAATATTTAAATTTAATATATTCAAAAATTACATAGAAATTATTAATATTTCTTTTAAAATGATTTATTAAGATTAAAAAATAATTAAAAAATTGGTTTTAAATTATTACAAATTTTGTATTTTAATATTTTAAAAATAATTAGTGCAAAATATAATTTTTAACATATTTTTTGGGTATTTTAAAGTTGATTTTTTGAAAGTTTATAATAAAAAAAAGTTGAATAACTTTTCGCTCAACTTCAAGTTTGAAATCTACATCATTAAATAGAAAGTTTTATGATAATAAAAAAATATTATTGTTAATATTAATATGCTGTCAGGAAATTGTATAATTACTATTTACTGTAAATTTATCAGAAAAGCTCAATATTTCTTTTGCATTTTTATTGTAATAGATCACCTAAATAGAAAATATAATAATCATTTCTCAGTAATTTTTGATATTTCAAAATATTCTACAATTAAAATATTCAGAACATAATTAATTTTAATGATTTACTTTAACTAAAAAAATCTACTCAATCGGTTGTATTATAAAATTTAATAATAATTATGAAAATCCATTGTTAAATTCAAGTGAAACTAAAAATAATTTTATTTAGAAATGATTAATATAGCACCATGTTGCCAAAAAATTTGGAATATTACAGTCTAATAGTAGCACATCTAAATAGAGTAAAAAAAATATTAAATTACAAAGTAAAATTATTTAATTTTGTATTTGAAACCTATCATAACTATAAGACTTTTGGTGTTTTAAAGGTTCTACAATTAAAAAAAACGGTAGCACAGTGGGGTCGAGGCACAGTGTGGACGAGGCATAGATGGAACAAGTATAGATGATATCTGACAGTGATTAAAATCACTATCATAAGAAACGCTTCGATGCAAATCTGTAGATAGTGTTTCCTTTAGAGAAATTGGTGAAATATTTTAAAAGCAACATGAACTCTTATTTCTTTAATTATATCCTGATTAGTAGTTCTTTGATTTTAAAATATAATATATGAATAAATACTAATTATAGTTTTTAAATTTAGTATGAAATTGTGAGGCCAGCTATGATGTATGGTTCATAGTGTTGGGCGGTTGATAAGAAAGTAGAGCAGAGAATAAGTGTAGCAGAGATGAGAATGCTTAGTTGGATGAGTGGAGTGACTAGAGAAGATAGGATAAGGAACGAGCATATAAGAGGAAGTATAGGTGTTGCGTCAATCGTGGATAAGATGACAGAAAATAGACTTAGATTGTTTAGTCATGGTATGAGGAAAGAAGAATCGAAAGCTGTAAGAACAGTTATAGAAATGAATGTTGAAGGAAGAAGAGATAGAGGAAGACCAAAAAAGAGATGGAGGGATGCTATTGAATGCGATTTGAGGACAGCTGATGTGAGCGTAGAAGATGTGGGAGATCGTGTCAAGTGGAATCTTAGGATAAGGGTGCCCGACCCCAAGTAGTTGGGATTAAGGCAAAGAAAAAGAAAAATATTACCAGATATTCCGGTGGCAATTGACATAATATGATTGTTATTTCGGAATGTACAATTTAGCGTTTAGTTGGGTTTAAATAATATAGCGTCAAATCAATTACCTACTCTATCGGTTGTATCTCAATATACACTACACTTTAATGATACAATAAATAAATAAACTCACACATACACACATATGCATTTATAACATTGTGTCTAATGTAAGTATAACATGATAAAAAGTAACCGTAAAATGAAAAAAATGGAATATAAATTTTATTACTCATATTAAATGTAATGTAACTCGAAAAATATTTGTTTAAATGAAAAAATATAAGATTATATTTTTATTTATAATTGTCTTTTAAACAACTTTTGTGCGAAACTTTTTTTTGTAA